CTTAATATAGGAACTTAAAAGTTTTTTTATTTCAATGTTACCGATTGATCCAGTACAAATTCTGAAAACCAATTTGAATTTTTCATTCAGTCTAGGTACATGAGATTTAGTTCGTACTTGCTTGATTTTCTTCAAATATTGAAATATACTTTTTTTAACTACTCCTTTTTAGTTTGATTTTTTTTAGGATTTAAGGGTATACAATCAAAAATGTAAAAAATAGATTAGACAAAATATCCAAATTTGTTTTCAGAATTCTTATCAGCTTACTAGATTTACCGACGGATCTAATAGTCAGTGTGAAAACACGTCTAAATTCCTATGTTCCACTTGTGTTAGATAATATCAGAAAATCACTGCTTCTAATCTCCTTGAATACAAAATTCTTCATCATTAACCGGCATTGTATAAATTTGCTGCCCCCATATGATTGGTATTGACAGCCCTGTTCCTTCTTTCCCCTTCGCTCCCAACTATAAGGAGTCGGACAATCTCGCCTTACACCTCATATAACTGTGCCACCTATGGTAAATAACTTGCCTTTGCCATTTTTGTGTCATTCTAAATTTATTATGTTCACATTCAGTTTTTCTCTTCCTATCTTTCCTTCTCCACTGATTTCCGAAATGATCAAACTATCAAAACCTATTCACCCTAATTTTGTTTACCATTGGTGTCACTTATACACACCCTAGATTAATAATATATTCTTTATTCTATCCTTTCAAGTCACTCCACAAATCCACCGTCACAATTTCGGTTACTCTCAACATCTGTTGTGTTATATTGTTCTCTGTCCAAAATGTCGATCCATAAAACTTGAGTGGCCTCACAATTATATTATAAGATTAACTAATAATCTCAACTGTAGTAGAAAACCTATTCATGAAACTTGAAACCTTTATTAAATATTAAATACAATATTGTATTTTCTTCTCTCGATAATGCGTATTATTATCTATCCAAACTATCTTTTTTTTTAAATCAATATTTTGAAAAAGTTTTTGAAATATCGTGGATCAAGTGCATCTCTATTATTACTTTAATTAATTAATTGATATGTTTAGTTCCCTATTTTATGGAAATCCAGAGGTATTATACCTACATTTAACTTATACATAAAATATCAGTTATTTTAAATATTATTAATAATTTTTTGTTTCTGAATTTTTGCTAATTGCACGTGATCGTTTGTGTTTTAATATCCTCATACCGATTTTTTTATAATCTCAATAATTTAGCTTTAGGGTTCACATAATTATCCAAAAAAATTATTAAGAAATACATTTAATTCTATTATTTTCACTAAATCTAAAGAAATTAATTACAATTAAATAGTCTTTGTTGTTTAAAATTTAAAATTAAGTATTTTCCTAAATAAAAATCTTTAATTTAAATATTTGTTTTATTTCTATAAATATTATTATTTTACAGTTTGCTGTCATCACTATCCTTCGTAACATTATTTCTATCTATTTCTTCCTTTTTACTCTATGAACGGAAATTCAATTACGGTACATCGTTTTCCTTTTGATATCATCATTAGAACTTTTGTTCATCTGATCACTTAGCATAGGCAGTTTATATTATTTATTAAATAAGGAAAACGATCAGAAAATGTGTTTCGAGCCAAACCCTTTTATATCATTTTTTTTCAACAGCTAATTTTGGTAAGGTTTTTTATTATTCGTTCAACCGACTTTTATAATCCATATTATTCAAAGGTTTGACATGGATGACGTTAAATTAATACGGGTTCGGAGTAACCGTTGAGCGAAACCACGACAGCGGTTATTTCATAAATGTATCTAATGAAGAATAGCGGGACGTATAATTTCGGCAATTTTCGAGCTCACGTCAGTTTACAATGCCTTCCCAAAGCCTTTTTAACGTGTTGATTAATTTTCAAGGTAATTCTTTATTTCTTAGTTTTATATTGTTCCCTAACCTACAAAAATGTACGCAACAGTTTCTTTGCTCTTAGCACTTAATAGCAATTTTTAGTATTCATTTAACAATGAACAAACCTTTTTTTATATTAGTATTCTCCCCCCCCTCCTCGGATTATGTTTGTTCCATTAAAAATCAACTTGATCCAGGAATTCAAAACAAAAATGTACAAAGTAGAACATTTTTTGTTTCAATGTTATTATTTACAACTATTATACTCTGAATACATTATTGTTAACTAAACATTCAACATTGTAATAAATATATAACTTATAATGCATTTTAATAATAGTAAATTCGTTATTCATAATTACACCTTTATTGAAACATCATAATAAAAAACAAATAATTATTGAAATTAAAATTAAGTCTTATGGTTACAAACTTGCTAAAATGCATAAAGCGATAAAACTAAAAAAATACTTAAAATTAAGAAAATAATTTCTGTAGGTGTTATTAATTTACTCTCATAATTATAAATGTTATTAACTATTGTATGAATAAAGACGTAACTTAATTTAATTTAAAGTATACCGACATCAAAAAATATTTGAAACTTCATTTCTATTTCGATCCATTTAAATAATATATAATATATATTGTGTACTAATATCAACACACCGTTTAATAACTTTTATTAAATTTCTTAAAAATTAGAACCCTAATTGGGTTCGAAAATACTACTATTACCAACATATTACAGTTAATGGTTGGCTCTTATTTTGAGACAGGTATCTACTTATCTAGACACGCCGTAGCGTGTCAAGCCAAGTTCTAGCTAACAGAACTGGCGAGCAGCACCGTGTGTAATATTACACGAATCATTTGGAGCCACTTTTGACCCCTCATAACTCAAAAACTATTCCACATAAACATGTCAAATTTGGCTCATATATTGAGACTAACGAGATACATAATATGTGCTCTAAATTTCATAAACACACTTCAAACCGTTATTTAGATATTAACGTCCGAAAATCGTCATTTTTATCACTGACTTACCTATAGATCAAAATTCTAACCCAGTTCCAGATGACCTAGAAAATTCAAATTTGGCATACAGATAGGTAGTTAGGTAAATACAAAGGAAAAAATCAGAAACTTGAAAATTTTTAATTTTTAATTTTTAATCAATTGATTTTATTATAATTTTGCAATTATTTTATCTATTATGTTTAATTTTTCAATTTGTTAATGAATTGCCTCTAATTTAATGTAATGTAATGTAATGTTGACTTAAATTACCTTTCCCGTATCGCTGCTCCAAAAATACGACTAGCCGAATATGTGTCGATATTGTCGACCCGCGCGCAGCAACATACTTTTTTTTCTATCTATGTATGTAATTAATATTATTTTTTTTAAATATTACATTTAAAATAATTAAATAATTATTCTTACAAATTATGAATTATCCACCCAACAGTAGAAACTACAGTCAATAAAATTATGATAATTAAAAATATACTCAAAAAGAGTTAGAATAATTGTATATTAATTTTACATATATTTTATACTCTGTATATACAACGGAAAATATTTTATAATAAATATTATTATTAATATTAGTAACTGAATTATATTATATAGTAATAAACTTTATTTATAGCATACGTCATGGCTAGGTTAGGTTCGGTTATAATAATTTACATACAAAAAGTAATGATATCCCACCAAAAACATATATGTAAAATGAGAGCCAAGTTCAATACTATAATATATGCCTTGGTTGTTGACTTCAACGACAAAAGAAGTGAGATCTAAATGGGTGCCAAGTTAGGATAATATATTGAAGCCTAAGGTCTGACTTGGCTACGAATTATATATTATAGCATTTGCAAGTTCTAAAGCTTTGAGTTCTTATTTTATTCTTCGGAAAATCATCTTCACTCTTCCATTACTGTTTTAGTAGGTACTTATAATAATAATTCGTATATGAAAAGTAGCCAAGTCACACCTTAGGCTTCAATATATTATCCTAACTTGGCACCCATTTAGATCTCACTTCTTTTGTCGTTGAAGTCAACAACCAAGGCATATATTATAGTATTGAACTTGGCTCTCATTTTACATATATGTTTTTGGTGGGTTTCCTAATTTAGAAGAGAAAACTAAATGTTATATCAATACAAATAGGTACCTAAGTTGGATTATACTGATGAAATATATTTAAACTTGAACAATATTTATTTTTGTAAGCATATTATGTTATCCTTAGTAGGTACTTAACAATAGCACCATAAAAGTAAACTTATAGCTACATAATAAACTAAGTTATATTGACCTATATATTAAAACGAATCTAGAAAATATACTTGTAATAAATAAAAATTTTTAATTTCTTTAAGCATACATTTTAGAACAATATTCTAATTATGTGGACTACGGATATTCAATAAATATATTATATTTGGTCTCAAAATATGAACTCAGAATATACTTCTTTAGTTACATGAAAAAAAAAACACTGCACTGATATTTGTTCGCATTAAATATTATGACCATTAATGTATAAAAAGTTGTTACAAATACTGATTTCACGGCTATTTAAAAAGAAAAAAACAATATTAGGTAAATACATTCACATACTAAGCACAAAAATGTCTATTTTGTAATATTTAACTGATAGAGTTTCAATGAGTCATAACATTATGTACCTACATGGTTTCGTATTTTATTATTTAAATTATTTTTGTTTTACAAATATAACTATATAAGTACAGAATAAATCTAGATTTATCAAGTCACATTCTTCATAATATTATACAAATTTGTTTAAAAAATATTTTTATAACTCATTCAAATATCGAGTCAATATTCAATTAGTCGTACTCATTATCCATCGTCTTATTAATTTTCGTATAAGAATATTGTATACGGATAGGTAGGTGGTGTATTATTTATACGGATAAATAAATAATATATAAAATAAATATTATGTATTTATAAAAAAATATTAAAAAAAAAATTCTTCTTAAGACTTTGTACCTAATTGCTTTATAAAAATGTCTTTAAATTGTAAGATACCATAATTTATTTTTAATTTTCAGATAAAATTGTACGCTTGTCAACAGTATCCAGTTATGGTACACTGCTGTTTATGACACCTGTAGGGCAGTCATATTCGTGTCAAAAAGAAATTAGCGTGGTATTGAGTGATCAAAACGTACCTACGATGAAAGGATACGTATTGCTCAGAGCATTTACTGTACAGCCGTTCATATTTAAAAACAATGAATTTGGACCAGGTAAGAAAACACTTTTCAAAAAATTCTCATTGAAATGTATATTAAATTTAATTACAATTAACTGATTCTATATAAAATATAAATGTTCTGTATTTTGTTAAAAATGTATTCGTGACTCACTTTATATACTTCAAAATAATAGTATTCTCTAAATTGTTATCGAAATAAAACAAGACTAATGATACCAATACATTAAATGTAAAATACATCAAACAATTAATATATTTTGTATTTCGTTATTATTTTGATTAAACAAAAATTCTTTTATATTTTAAATTATGTAAGTATTTGAGTAATTCTAAAACGATTACATCTTACAAGCATTCTAAATTCAATGAATAACACTACCTTTACATTTATGCAGGCTAAAATATTTTAACATTAAATTATTTCATCACTTGTTTTTCCAATAATAGAATTCCAATTTTATGGGGATGGTTACAATGTATTATTATTATCTAATTACCTCAAAAAAACTAGTAGAAATTCTGATTTGCAGCAGTATATTATAAGGTAGGCAATCTACCTGCTGTAGATCGCGGACCCTGTGCTGTTTGTACGTATGTCGTATTCCACCTATGGTGGATTAATATAATCAATTAATACAAATTCCTAACCTAACCTAACAGTACTAATATCAGATGAATAAAAAAAAAACAAATTTAACCATTTTTAAATTATCCTGTCTTCTTCCCAGAAGTCTTATATACACACACACACACACACATTCATTTATATACAGTAGAATCCGCTTAATTGGGACACATCGGGCGGTGACCTATTTGTCCCAATTATCCGACTGTCCCGATTAACCGAATAACTAATAAACCGAAATTATTAAAGTGCATATATACATACATAATAACTTTATTTAAAAAATACATACATACACACTTAATTCATACTTTATTTAAAAATTACATATGTATTATTAGCAGTTGTACATTATACATATTTACTATTTAGTATTATTATTATATTTCATTATTTTTCAATCGGTTTAGTACCGATTTAGACGTGCCTATTAATTTCTCTAACTCACGAAGACTATTATAAGGTTGTGCCTTAATTTTATCCAGTATAGAAATTTTTTAATTTTTTAATTTTTTAATTTTTGTTAAATCTTTATTGTTACGTACTAACACAAACTGGGATTAATAAAAACGCACATGCATTAATACACATCGACGAAAGAACGTGAACTAAAGGTTTTCGATTTTGTACGTAGGCTAGTTGACTCTTATCGTGGTAATAAAAAAAAAATGATTGACATAATTGATGTAAGATATACGTATATTACCTGTATGTACATTATATGTACATATACGTGCGTATATAAAATATAATAGAGCCGTAAAGATTAGATAATTACAGTTTCGATAAGAAAGTAGATAATTTAGGCCAAAATATCTAGTTAAACAATTTTATTTTTGTCCCTTATAACCGATGGTTTGTCCCGGATAAACGAAGTTAAATTGCATTTAACTTATACATCAGTTCGGGACTATGACAATTTGTCCCCATTAAGCGGTTGTCCCCTTTATGCGGTGTCCCAAATAAGCGGATTCTACTGTATATATAAATTATTTCTAATTATTTCTGATTTCACTGTAACCAATGTTTATTAATATAATACCTTTAAAACCCATGGCAACCATTTATAAACGAAAATATCCACCATAAATCTCAACATTCCCGTTTGAGCACCTCCACGGAATGGACCTACCGGGTCCGATTGTGAATATAAAACATTCTAAGGCCCACTAAAGCACACATAAAACATTTCATCAAAATCGGTCCAGCCGTTTAGGAGGAGTTCGCTTACAAACACACGTACAGTAGAATTATATATATAAAGATATATATGTTTTGACAAAAATAATAATACAAATCAAAAAACATGCCAGATTAACCAATATACCTAATATAATACACTGTTCCGCCCCTGTTGTATTTTTTACATCCAGATTTCCTACTTTTCCGGTGAATTTTCCTCAAATTTTCTTTTGTAAAACCCTTCTCCTAGCAATTACGTACATCTTAAAAAAAATTTGAGCCATATCGGACCAGCCGTTCTCGATTGATGAGGTATAACGACATTTTCACTCTTAATTTTTATATATATTATAGATTATTATATCAAAATCCAAACCGACAATCACATAGCCAGGTTATTAAATAACCAAAATCCTATAATAACATATTAAAGCCGATTTTAAGTAAATGTTAATGATTTTATGCTCTTTTTAAATGCATACAATTAATTTCTAGTAATAGTAACATACTGGAAATACTGGAATCAAACTTTTAAAAATTATAATTATTTTTACTTAATAAAAATATATCACATAAAAAAATAAAAATCTAAACTAATAATATTGTTTGTATTGTAGATATGTATTGTATTTTTTTTTTTTTTATTGATCTTTGTATAGCTTCGGCGACATAGGCCATTAGCTTTTTACATTTCACTAAAATATGTCTTATTTTTTAAATATATATCTTTGAAGTATAAAATAAAAGTTGACCAATACATTTTTAATATATAATTTTCTTTAACCGTGCAAAATAACTGTAGAATACTTTGAGTAGGAAAACAAAATATATAATCTTTAAAAACATACATTTTTCAAATTTATCCATCAATAATAATTATTTATGTCAATAGTAATTTATCTTGAAATGTGAATACCACTAGTTTATTTTAGAAACTTGTCCTTGTCAGTTAGCGTTTTTCATAACATGACTTTAGGTATTTCATTATAGAGATTTTTAATAATTTTAAGAAAACTAATATTAAGAATGTTTAGTTGTTATAACTACAACATTATATAAATACATCATCATTGTTACATACCTACATAAGACAATACAATTAGAGTAGGTACATAACAACATATTTAAATAGGTAGCAGAAAATATAAAATAACATACTTAAATTACCTACTTTTCCATTTAAATTATTTTTTCCCAATGGCTGGCACATTTTTCAACACCCAGTGGCGTTAAACTATAAATTTTCCTTTTGACTTTTCCGATTTCATTCCGCGTCTATTAGTTTGTATTACTTGTCAACTTGTTAACATCAGGTATAATATATGTAAATGTATATACATGTGTGACTTATCGAGAATAAAATACGTTTTAACGATACAAATATACTGGACCAGTAGACCACAACATTAATATCACACAGTTAACTAAACATCTGACGATGGGTACTTCACACATATAATATAATATAATATAATATCATTATATAATGCATGAACACGTCTTACGCATGACAGCCACTAATTTTGATTTGTTCGCACACTTTTATCATCCGTATAACAAAGTGGACATGCATAGAAACATTGAAACATTCTTTACTGGTATATTATTTCCAATATTAATAAATATTTATGAAATAATTTTTTTCTTAATTCAATGACGTGATAGTTTTAATTTTAAATATGATAGAAATCGTTCATCTTTTTATATACTTTTTTTTGTACTACTTATACAAATTGAATTCTTTCTATATGGAAATGTATCCAATTGTTTCTTTTTATCCTATATTTATTTGAATCCAAGTATGTTATTTTTTTATTTAACCATACATGATGGTGTATAACATTACAAAAAGTAAAGCTTGACAATAAGACTACCTAGTCTTAATAAAAGATTATAAAAACTCAAAGAGATATTCATTATTCTCAAAGCAATTTCAAAAGAAAAATCTTAGAAATTAACTTCAAATATTTGTTTTCCGAGTTTATAATAGGTAATAAAACATTTTCAAAACATTAGGTATAATTTTCAAATATCCACTCATCCATTTGTATACAAAGTATATATTATAATATTATAATTCTGCGTAACCCATTATCCAAAATTGAGTTCACTGCATGCTCTACTTTTATGGGGTTATTTTTATTTTTCGATTTGCTGGATCATTAAAGTTTGAATCAAAATTGTTTTTACAAACATGAATCCCATAAATGTGTTATTTAAGCATTAAAGTGATACATAGTTTTAGATAGTGAAGTTATATTAGACACATTTATATAAAGCAATTTTAAATCATAAATTCTATGTATGTATTCTATTTTCTATTAAAAAAAAAAAAATCAAATATAAAGGATATTAATACTTTTTTAGAACATAGTTTATATTATTGGAAAAACGAACAATATTTTTGTTTATTATATTTAAATTTTTATATTATAATAGATTACTTGGTGTGATTTAATGATTAGGTACAGACATCTTATAAGTTTGATATAAATATCAACAATTGTTTGTGTAGACATTTGACTAATTGTTTATAAACAAATTTAGTTAGATAAATACTTTAATAGATAATTTATGGAGCTATACATATAAAAAAATGTCTGATGGACCAACGTTTAAATAATAGCAATATGTTTTTATTTTTTATTCACCTATACGATGTCATATTTTATTATAATGTGATAATTAATATATCAGTTCTTCATAAATTAATGTTAAATTGTAGTTACAATATACCCATATACGTTTTGTGAACCATAGATTGATATATAAAATAAACGTTTTGCAAACAAATATGATATTTTACATCAAGTCAATTTTAATTTGGAAAAAGTTTCAATTTCAAGGATATAAGTAAAAATGAAAAATATGTGTTCGTTTTTCCTAATAATTAAATAATTCAAACAAATTGTAAATTATATTATTAATGTATGTTATATATTTATAGAATAATAAAACGAATCACAATTATATCTTTAGTATTAGGCTGTCAGTCCATTTGTTGCACATATTTTTTTTATTTCCTAAAATGCCACAAACTTAAAAAAAAATTATTATAACAGACGAGGTCATATTGCATACTAGTCTCCAATGAAGTACCACATTTTATGTGTTTGCTGTCCTTGCTATCATATGTAGCACATACCTAGGTAATATTTATAGTTTAACTGAAAAAATCAGTTGAAAGTATGTATGTCTGTCTGTCTGTGTGTCTGTGTGTCTGTGTGTCTGTGTGTCCATATTACCATGGTAACCAAATGTAACGTAACGTAACGTTTTTGGATTCTATGTGCCAAAGCAAAGACATAAAATGTCAATATTAAAAAGGAATGAATAATTATTATCGTGGTTAATTCATTTTCTATTTTTAAATGTTTAAAAAATATTCTAATTACATAAATATTCAAAGCATTATTATCGTTAGAAAAATATTTTTAATTTGTGTAGAATATAATATAATTATATATTATTAATTATTATATTATAAATTTCGAAGCGTGGGTTTATGAATGGTTATTTATAGTATAACTATAATACCTTGATTTTAGTAGTAATTTAACCAATAGAGAGTTTTATTTTTCAGAAATTGAAAGCTTTATGTATTGTGTATTTATGTGTATTTATAATAATAAAAAAGGAACGTGAATTAAAAACAGTTGTTTTTAATTCTCTTTGACGCCACGGGTATTAACAAGATAATTGCAAAACAAGGCATGATCAATATTTGAACTTACCTAGGTACTTATTTATAATGAATGCGTTGACATTTTTTATAATAGTGCATGTCAACATCGTGAATATACTTACAATACCATTATCGCTTTTTGAATTATTGATTCAATGAAGAACATTGCCAACTACATATCTATATCCATTTAGAATTTGATATATTATGTTTTTTTATGAGTGTAAGATAATTATAAAATGTAATATATGTATAATATTTAGACTTAGAATAAAACACGAGACGAATGATGAAAACGGACCATATTATGAAGTGTGGGTGATCCAATATACATACACACATACATACATACATACATACCTACGAATTAGGTACATATACCTATACATTATATGCACTCCTCTTACATACACGTGGCATATGCAACACATAAATAATATTCTACACCTCTCCCACCAGACATTTAGTGGAGACAACACAATCAAATATCAGCGGTGCCAGTAAACACCGTATATTATAAAATCATGAACGCATTCTGTCGTATATATATATATTATATACTTTAAGACCCCTTCGATAATTCTCCGATCAAGACTTTTGGTAAAAACAAAACCATAAATTAAACCTTTGTCGCACCGCACAAAATAATAAAATATATCAATACTCTATTATCACGTATTAATCGTTGCACAAGAAGAAGAGAAGGGATCAACCAAAATCATATTATATCCACAGAGAATCGGCTCGTCGCCAGTGACCATTCCGGAGATACACATGGTTCACGCCAGTCAACATCACGACTCTCTTCCATTACTGTCCAAATGAGTGCTCATTACTGTGCGTACATGCGTATACAATATATGTATTATGTATATTGGATTATTTGAGCATTCGGTATGTCTGTCTAAATTGGTTGTCTCTCTATCAAACAAATTCACATTGTTCATCTTTTTCCACTTCCCTTACTACATAAAAATGAACTTGAACTTTAAAAAATATTTGTACCTTTGTTATTGTGGTAGAGAAAGAAAGCTTGGATGAACACAAAACCTACATCCGAAAAAAAAACGAATACAGTGAAAATTCGATAACTTGAATCGGCCGGGGACAAAAAAAATTCAAGTTATTGAAAATTCGTGTTATAGAAAAAAATCTGTGTACTTAGAAACATATTACAGAAATGCTGGGAGGCCAATATTTATATATTTAAATTTTTTAATTACTCTTAATAATGTAACATAGTTTGATCAAAAACCAATATGTTACGTACAATGGCCTTAGATACGGGAAGTATTCTAATAAAAACTCTAATAAATATAAAATTAGTATAAATTATATTTAAGTAAATAAGGCAAACATTATAAAATAATTCAGACATTTTATACCCAAATAACATATGCTTTGAATTCTAAATTAAATAATCTAAGTTTGAATAAATGACTAAACTAATTAACTAATTACGAAATAAAGTCAATTCATGGCTATTGAGGTTAAAAATCTAAGAATTATTTCAATGTGTCGCAATTGATTTCATATCTCTATGTGCTTGAAGTTGGTGCGCGACACTGTCTGATCGACTACGGGCCAATGCCGATATTTTGTAACTTGTTTGTAACTCTTTCCTTTAGGTTTTTTTTTGGGGGGCCCGAAGTAAGGAGTTACAAATTCTGAAAAGTCTGTTACAAATAAGTTACATTGTTACAAAAGAATGGCGTTGATCTTGAGTGAATAAAAAAAAGTCTAGTGGCTGGCCCCCAACAGAAATTTTTTTATAGTGCACAAAGTAAGGAGTTACAAATTTTGAAAAGTCTGTTACTAATAGTTATAAATAAGTTACAAAATATTAGCATTGGTTCGGAGTCGATCAGGCAATGCCGGGGGGCCAACATCGAGCACGTCAAATCTCTCTGTTTTTTTTTAATAAAGACAAAATGTACTATACAATTTTTAAATTAATTTTCAATTTTACAATCAAGTGAATACTTTAAAACTAGTTTGATTTTTCAAAGTAGACATGAAATTCTTTAATGATAAGTTATTGAACTTGGTTGTGTTAGGCCAAGTTTAAATTTCTTGTTAGGTCTTTCTTTTAACTAAACATCGTTGTATTTTGGTTAAGCATTTAAAATGTTTTTAATTTGCGTTGATGCAAAATTTTATTGTTCGATTGTATGTTTGTGGAGGTGAATTATACAATCTAAATTTCAACAATTTTGATGCAGTTATAATACGATATATATACCCCAATATGTTAATAATTATAAGCTCAACGATTTATCGAAATCTAATATTTGATCTCATCATAATTACTGTCTACATGTATATAATATACATAATATAATGTAATATAAACACATAATATATTATTGAGAAAACGAGTGTTTACTTTTGTAATATTTTATGCATCAACGATTTCCTGGTTTCAATTGGAACATTTTAAACTGCGCTCAAATTTAGTCTTAACCATAGTATTAAACTGTACTAACTTATTTAATGTACCTAATAAGTGTATTTTACCTAAGTTTAACACAAACTTATTTCGATACAACACTTATCTTGTCTATGATTCGATGTTACAGCTTACCAGTGTTCGTCGATCGGAGCCGGTGCCATGCGAAACGAAACCGTACCATTCATATTTGGCATCACTCTAGCAGCCGTCGCTGTACTTACGGTTGGTGGGTATGCGGTTTTCAGACACTTCAAAATCAAGAAAGTCCAGTACGATACGATGGAATAAATGATTCTAAGCATGGGAAATGTAGATGTGCTAACCAACTGGGGATTTTTTTTAATTATAAATTATAAATTATTTTGTTTTTTAATTGTTTTGATCAACACAGCAATAATCTCATAGACGATGTTTTTATTTTATACTATAGTTTATATAATATAATTATTAGGATATTACTGATTATTCGATACTGCAATGACACGTTTTGTGTATATTTTTTCTTTGTAGAATTTCTGATACGCCTGATTTTTAAAAGAATATCTGACTTACATATTTATTTAATATGTAAATTATAGGTATCTATTTGATAACTATGCATTGGTATTACAAAATTGACTTATTTTACATACATTTATTAATATCATTATTTTTTCATTTTATCGGTTCTCATAGCCCATTAACTGATTTAGATAATTTTAATCTGTATTTGTTTTCTATTATTACTTGTGTTCTTACATCACAACAAAAATTAAAACTGAGTCTAGATGACTCGATTTCTGAGTTCATATTTATTTTAAATTTCAACCTAAATTTATATTCAATACATATAAAACAAATAATAAACCTAGGTAGTTTTATTATCGAAGTATTCATTCTTATTTATTAAAAAATCTATTTCTACCATTGGGTTTATCATATAATATTTTTAATCGTAATCAACATTAAATAAATTAGCAACACACTATAATTATTTTATATTTAGACACATAAAAAATATCTCATTATTATTATTATTATTATTAAATACTTGTTTGCTAATATAATCTCATTACAGACTTAATTTTTTACTATTCAACTTATAAAAACTTACTTTAAATTGTTATTATACGTATTTTTTTATTTATATAATATAATATTGTATTATTTTCAATAATATGTCTGCTTACAGTTGATGACGTATACATATGTTAAACTATATGTGTTACATAAATAATTACTGATACTTAGTGTAAAATGTAAATTAATTCGCAATTTTTTATTATTATAAATATGAGCTATTTTTGATTTAATTCATAAAATTAATTTTACAATTGGCTTACATGTTTAACGACTTAGTATATAAGTTGCAATAAAAATTATTGTTATTCGGAATGTCAATTACCTATATAATATTCTTTGGTTTCAATGATTTGTATTTCAGTGGGTAATTGGATTGATTTTTTCAAATATCTTAAAATTAACACAGCACTACAGTAAAACAATTTTCTTGTAATATAACACCCATGTTACTTTACCCTTAACTGACTGTTCATTACAATATTAATTATAATAGATTATCAATATTACAATAGGTAGTTTCCAATTAATTCCAATTATTTCCAATCAAAGTAATTAATTTAGAGTATAGTACATTTATATAAATTTAATTGTAAAACAGCAGATTGTATTGTTGTAAGCAACATTAATGAAGCTCTTTATATTTTAGTAATTCAATTTAATGTTTTGATTTTAAATAACAAGCATAATTTCATATTAGATTTATCGTCCTTTCTACTAAAATATATCTTAATTTTGGCTTATTTGAAAGTCAAAATATATTGTATTTTATTATTTAACATTAAGTTGTTGGTATAAAAAAGATAAACTGATTTATATAATTTGATTAGTACCCATGATCTATTGAATATTAGATGGACATTTCCAAACTTAAAATTATCTTTAAATAATGTAATTTTATTGATAAATATATTGGAAATGCAATATTTTAGTTCGACTATTTGAGATAATTATCATTAATTGTATTATTTAGTATTATAAGTGTGTACAGTCTTAAGGATAACGCCCATTACTAACGTGTTCTAACAATATAAATTGTGTAGATCATAGTGGACTTAGGAAATCCGTAGTCATCTGGTGAGCACTAATGGGCTATAAGGATATAAAAAATTATACCTAACTCTTGATTCTTTTGAAAAAAAAAAAAAAACAACATAAGATTTGCGTTTGTTATAAGGACCATCATTAGTATATTATTAGTTCAATGTAAGGACTACGTTACTAGAAATTTCTTATCTGTTTTTATACCCACATGTTACATATTTTACTGCCTATCATCGTTTTATTCTTCTCATTATTAATTGATAACATTCATACACATCACTTTATGTATAGGTACCTACATAATATAACTAATATTTTATTTGTATTGTACTTTTTCTAATGGGTAATACGTAAGTAAATTCAATAATACGAGAAAACAACCATACATCCAATAAAATGAGTACCTAAGTAACATATAATGAATCCGATAGTTATACTATTTTTTAACACCATAATATTAAAAATAACAATTACTTTCTCCAAAGTTATAGAATACTACCTACCTAATCATTTACAAATATTTCACTCAACACAGAATACAGTTTTTAGAAACAGAAAGTTCATAATTAATATTTTTCATGATTTTCAAATAAACAAATTTATATCATTAAATTATTTAAAATGATAGAATGACGTTTATTAATGATATATCCCTTTTAAATTACCTATAATAAATAAGGTAAATAAAAATGTTCGTTAAATGCGTTTTAACTAATATCTGATGTATTTACATATTATTATCTTATAAAGTTATAACTGAAAGGTCACAAATTTTAAATTTATATATATCTACTTCATAATAATTTTATAATATTTTGAGTTTATTCGTACTCAATAAGTAATACATTTAAACATCGTAACTATTTAAAAAAATTAGTATCATATCATATTTATCAATAATATGTGATAAATCTATTCAAAATATATAAATACTAAATCCCTTTTTGATGAGGTAGATTAGAATAGAATAAATTCAAGTATAACTCATAACGAAAAATTAAAAATTAATAAATTAATAAATTATTTACTTACTTACCTACTTAATTGTAAAATATTGTTTTTTTCGCTTAAATTATAATTATTTTATTTTTTTTAATGAATAATATTATATAATAATAATATATCGTAATTATTACATTTCTGCTAACACGTTTTAATTAAATCAATAAAATTGCATAAACTTTTCATTTGTGATGATTCAATGCTTATCGTTTCAATATATTATACATTATGGTTATCTTTATTGTAACATTATTCCTAAATTAGACTGTGCCACAAGCACACAATAATTAATTGTAATTAATACTATTTTTGATTATTTAGAGAATACATATAATACATAATATAATACATAAGTTATTCGGTCTGAACACCGTTTACATAAATATTTACTTACAATAAAATTAATAAAAATCAATACAACAATGGTTTTATATTGTCAACTAAATGCATATCGACGTCCTCGTCTTCCAACACAAATTTTAAGCATTTTAATGTTTTACGTTTTTTTTTTTTTTTTTTTTTTTTATAATGTGATTTATTATTCGAGTGTCTTTTTCTCTCATATTCACGACGATGAATACCGTATAATATAATATTTATTACGATCATATTTATTATATTACCTATTAGTTTATGAATATTGTTATCATAGTAGTTAAATAGTTATACTGTTTGTGTGTAGTCTATTTATTTAGTCCATAATATAGAATTATGAATAATTATAATACATTATAATAATTATTATTATTAATACTATCACAATGATTATTATTATTATTGTTATTATTAGCAGTTGTAGTATTAGTATAACCTATTATATTATATTTATTATAAATTATTATTTTTATTTTTATTATTATAATTCTAAATTATTATTTTTACTACTAATACTATTACTATTGTTTCCACAAATTATAACTGCAATAATAAATTGCGCATTATTCAAATGTGTTTTTATCATTGTAAACTTTTAAAATTTTATGATAAATAAATATTTAAGCCATAGAAGTTTGAAATTATAATTATCTTTATACAATTGTATACACACGACTAGTATTTAATTTAGATGCTAGTTGAAATGTCACATAAAAATTGTCCCAATCACTGAATGAGAATAAAAGTTCAATGTATCAAAAATAAATATAACGGATAATACTAACATTTAAAAAAAAACAACCAGGGAAGTTGCTCTGTTGTATTAAAAGTTTTGATAATATGCGGCATAAAAATGTTGTCATGATGGATATTGTGTTAAATGTATTGTAATTCAATTGTGAATCATTGCACACGAAAAACGATTACGAGTATCGACCTTCATTTCTTTGGATATTTTGTACATTAGTGTTATCATATTACCATTAGGCAATTGTTTTTAAAATAGGAAATAGGAATACGGTATATTATGATGAACTTATTTTTGACAAAAACATCTCAATCAATTACAATACAATAATGTGTTATTATAATATTAAAGTGCCTATATATTATTATTGTTATGCATTTATATGTAAATAAGCTCTTCAAAACTATGTTAATAAGTTCATGATGTACCTTACACTTCATTTACAATTTCCTTACTTAGCTAAATCTAACCCTATGATAACATCAATATTTTGTATTCTGTGTCGGTTCCCTTCATAAAGCTGTCCATTTAAAAGTCTTCGTAGCTTTTGAAGCTCCCACGTATTCCTGCTCAACATTTTTCTAGAGTTCCATCATATAGTATGTGCCTAAAAATAAGACGGAGAGTCGTTACATGCATTACTGCAGTTAGCTAATATAAGCGGAGCAATTCTGAAGGACTGTTCCCGGTATTCTTTATCCACATTGATCTACCAAAATATTTTTTTTCCACGTTGGGGTTAAGATAAATGTATGCTTGAGGAACCGAACAAAGTATAGAGTTACATCTTGCTGGGAAGTGAATAATAACAAGTGGTATAAAAAACTCACGATTTGCTTAATAATTAATTACTAGTGATGAATATAGTATGACGGATATGGTAGTTGATCAGCTTAGCAATGTAGGTGAATAGCTTTTATGACTCATTTGATTAGTTATAGACTGATGGATGAATTGATGGAAGTTACGGCGTACCAGAGCGGTACGGAGACGGCTTGATTTATGACGAAACGACTTGACTTGACTTGACTTTGATTATATGACCTACCCGATTGGTCGTTTCCTATTCCAGGCCGTAGCCTATCCCAGTGGTGGAGATGTTAAGTATTAGATGTTGATTGATTCCATGGCTCACGCAAGGAGATAAGTTTTTGATGGTGGTCATAGGCTAGGGTGTATGGCAGGGGCTAGTTGTAATAGTTCTCTGATGTGGCGGTATCTCGAAAATCTTTTTTTATAGTAAAAAGCCGAGGCCTGAGATCTGATCAAAGTTTAACGCCTCGGAAGTCGACCTTGTACCTCCGGAGGGGGGAATGCCGCAACCGAACCTCCAGTGATCGGTACCCTCCATTATACAGTCTTGTCGTGCTCTACCTGCCTTGGTAAATGTTTATATCAGCTGTATCTGTTATTGTCGCGATGCGGTGCACCACCTCCGTCAATACACGTTTTTTGTTCCGTGCACCCGAGCCTTCGCTGCTCACGAACTCATTGCGTACGTTTTGTGTTCCCACGATTCGAGTTCCGGCCGCTTGTGCCGAAACCACGTATTAGTATTTTGAGGCCGTCACCAGTCCGATTTTTGCTGTGTGACCACGACCGTGGTGTCACCGTCATTACAAACGTTTTGTAGTTCAAGCCACAAGTACTTTTTCATGTCGCGCCGTGCATAGTGCCGCCAACTTGTATCGTTCGACCGTCTGTGTCGCGATACAACATATTTAGTATTTTTCGTCGCTCGCCCGACTAGCTGTGCGTTTCAATGACCTGCTCTCTCCCACACCCACGTGTTTTCCGCCCGCCCGTCCTACACAGTGTGAACCGTGGTTAAGCAATTTTGTTGTCGTTTGTGCCGCGCCTGTACGCAGCGATAACTGATTTCGCGATCGATTCTAACGCTTTTCGCGATCTCCTTTTAACAAGAACACGAGTTCTTGTCCACGTCGTCCAATATTTCAGATTACCTCCGCTTCAACCATCGATCACCAGTCGTACGTACGCGGTGTCGTCGACCAATTCGTCGAAGTCGAGGGGAGTGCAAAGTGACGCAAGCCCCGAGAGCCACCCGCAGCTGTTGCAATTTCGCACTGGGTCAAGTGCAGCGCCATCGTCGTGGTATCATTAACCGTCACTATCAGGTCGTACACATGAGATTTCTATTTGTCAACCAACTCCACATTTTTGTATTCGTACTATTATTTTTTTGTCTCCTGATTTATTGATTTACGCGATCGTTTGTAATCACGCTTATAATACTAACCTTGGCTATTAACAGAATTTTCTGCAGGACACAACAATAAATTGTTCTGCACCTTTTATATAAAAACCATTGTTGCTATTGTCATTACTGATAAGTTAGCTCTCACTCATCACCTTACCATTCATACACCCTAAAGATTTGAACCTTCCTAATATACAGTCCACTCTCCCCTTCCTTCAGGGTTATCGACTGGTAACGCGTAAGTATTTACACGTCCGACGCGTAACGTGTTGGCAACGTAAGTTAATGAGCATTTATTATTATACTTATATTCTAAACATATAGCTCTTAAAAATCCCTATACTCGTAGCAAGAGTACATAATTATAGTCAATTCGCCAATCGAATGTAATTTAAGTTAATGAACACTTATTATTATACTAATATTCTAAATAGACAATTGCATAACTGTGTAATAATACTATAACTGGCCTATGATACTATGATAGTCAGAGAATCTTATATTATTGCAAAGAATAAATAGATAGGTGAATAAACAATTAATAAGATGAATTTGTTCGATAATACAAAATAATTAATTTATACAGTCTTGCCGAATGCTGGAATAACTCAATATACATACACATGTAAACGCACTCGCTTTGAATGTCGAAAATATTGTGGAAGTGAATACGGACGTTGTGACAAGTGGACGTTGTGTATCGGATCCTCTTGAGTGAAAGACAGGCATAGAAGTCGATTCTGTATGATCCTTATAGGTATAGAGTGATTTTTGTGTAATCTCTTCTTTTGATATGCATAGATTAATACTTAATATTAATGTATTGATGTGTTTATTATCTATTTTGTGTGGTGTGACAAAGGTGCCGCTTTTAATTTATTATTGTTTTTAACAAATGTCTTGACCGTATCGATGTAGAATATTATATTTTATGTGTTGCAAGTGTCGCTGTGTGTGTATAAAGAATGCGTATAAATATATGCCTAAAGCGTATGTATATAATATATACTACATATTATGTAGTATGTATACCGAGACACTCCACACTCCATACGGACCGTCGCTATTAGTTATTCTGTGTTTTTATTTAAGTATAGAAATATAATATATTACAATACGAAGTTCATGTGAAAAACATTTAATCAAATAATTTGTTTTACGTTTTATTGTACGTATTGTATTTGAAGGTTAGAGAACCCCATTAATTTTTGTTTTTTCATTATTTTCAAAATCTAACAGCAAAGACCACAAGATATTCTTCTTAGTCGGAAGACATGATATGGTGACTAAACATGACTTTACTTTTCTTTCTCTTTTTGGTGTAGGGCACGAATTGTTTTATTATGATTAAATCAGAATTGACTCATACTGTGTATGGAGGGACCACCTGAATTAAAAATATGATCGTCAGGTATTGCCCGCTCCCGGATTATGGTAATTGTCGTGCGATGGTAGTGGACTGTAATAGGTAGGTAAATAGAAAAATGGATGACGGAAAACTACAGCGAGAGAAATAACAATAACGTTGTTGTTGTATGAAAATTATCACGGAATATGACGAATATATTAAAACGTTGCTAACAGGTGAAGATGCTTACAAACTATGTTAGTAGTAGGTGGGGGCCAACCACAAGCGGTCGCCAATACAGAGGGACAAAAAAGAAACAAATAATAAATGTACAAAAAAATTGATATAAATCATAATACCACGTCGGGTAACGGAAGAACATAAACAAATGAAATCAGCTGTGTACGACCTGATAGCGACGATACTGCAGCTGATAGCGGGTATTGACAAGTGACAACTGATGGTGCTACCGTTGTCCCGGCACGACGATAATGGGCAGCTGGAAGTTGACCGGGCTGCGGCGACACACCACAACGTCGACTTGGACGAACAAACAGTCGACGAACGGGAAGGCTCGTAACCACGTGACGAACACGGCGGATCGCACTGCGCACACACCGCGCGGACGATAACGGCAACTTAAAACACAATGTGGTTTTGGCACGGGCGGCTACAAAACGCGATTTGTGTGTGCAACGAGGGGCACGACACGGAACAGAAAGCACAGACAGCTAGGGCGCTTGGACAAGCCAAGATGGCGTGCGTTATTGAACGACGACGGCACGCCAGTTCGCGTAGGTAACAATAATACGATGATTGCCAAGACGGCTGAGAAAAAGCGGCAGGAACGGTGACTTCGCGACAAGAGGCACTGCGTCGGACTGCATGCAGCGGGGATGAGACCGTCGGCGACACACCGATAACGCTTCTCTCTCCGGAGATATCGGAACGGTCGCACGGTGTCCAAAGTAATAGCGATAACGCGGGGCAAAGTCCAAGACCGGGCATACGCACCGAACATTCTCCCCACGTTGGAAGACGTAGGCTTCCGAAACATCCATTGATCCTGGACGAGAGAGCGTCCAAACTTAAATTAACTTAAAACTAAAACTACATTTATAGAGGAAAAATTTTGTGGAAAAACAAGGAACTTATGGATCTACCGGCAACTTAACCAGTTTAACAACTGGTCTTTTGTAAGTTCCATCCTGAGTTCGCACGGTAACGACTCGAACTGTTTCGTCCTTGCCAGAATGTACTTCCGTCACACGTCCCAAACGCCATTCGGAAGGGGGCCGGTTCGGGGCCTCGACGATGACCATGTCCCCAACAGCTAGATCCAATTCTTTGTGGAACCACTTCTGGCGTCCTTGCAAGGTGGTCAGATATTCCTTCGCCCACCTTTTCCAAAAGGATTGGTGACACTGACGGATCAACTGCCATCTATTTAATCGGTTGAGGGGAATCTGTGAAACGTCAAGTTCTGGAAGAGCGTGCAATGGTTGTCCGATTAAAAAATGGCCGGGCGTTAACGGAACGAGATCATTTGGATCTGATGAAAGCGGTGTAAGTGGCCGTGAATTTAATATTCCTTCGATGCGGGTGACCAATGTTAGCATTTCCTCAAATGTTAGAACTTGAGTACCAATGACATGCTTCATGTGATGTTTTGAACTTTTGATTGCAGCTTCCCACAACCCACCGAAGTGCGGTGCGGCGGGTGGATTGAAGTTCCAGGTGCATGGGAGGTGAGAAATCATTTTCTCTTGTGCACTGGTATCCCTAAATATGGACTTAAGTTGTCGAGCAGCCCCAACGTAGTTCGTCCCACAGTCGGAGTACAAATGTGCCGGAGTTCCACGACGAGCCACGAAACGGTCTAATGCAGCGAGAAAGGCGTCTGTTGTCAGGTCAGAAACAATTTCTAAATGGACAGCCTTTACTGTCATGCAGATGAATAGAGCGAGATATTCTTTCGAAGTGCGTGCATTACGACGGCGAGAATCCTTAATCACGAAGGGCCCTCCGTAATCCATACCCACATGTAAGAAAGGGCGATGTGGTTGAACACGGCTTGATGGGATATCTGCCATAAACGGTCGAGGGTGATCTGCCTTGTGACGGCTACACGTAACACAGGAAAATATAAATCGTCGTATGGCATCTCGGCCAGAGATGATCCAGGATTTATGCGACATCATGGAGAGGACTAATTTAGGTCCACCATGAAGAAAACTCAAATGATAATGACGAATTAGTAATTTAGTGACATGGGCAGAGTGTGGCAAAAGAATAGGATGTTTTGCATCTTCGTTTAACGCTGAATATCGAAGACGACCTCCAACACGAATAAGTCCGTCATTATCAACAAACGGGGCAAGTTGAGCCAACGAAGCGGGAGTTATCATCTGCGATGTAGTCAGCTGCTTCCAGAAGTTATAAAAATATATCTTTTGCGTCTCCTTTACGGCAATGATTAAGACGTAGTTTAACTCTGCTCTAGTGAGAGGTCCAGTTAGAACAGGTCGATGCCTAGATCGAGGACTAAAACGGAGACAATAAGCCAGAACTCTTTGCATTTTAATCAGAGATGAAAACCGGTGAAAAGGTTCAATAGATGGATGAACTTTAGTGACATGTAGAACGGTTGTTGTATCGGCTTTGGTCTCAGGCAAATCATCTAGGGGCATTGGAGTGAATGTCGACGGTGGCCAGTATTCTTCAGGAAGTGTTAAAAATTCTGGTCCGTTCCAATGTAGTGACGACGATGCCATGGTGGTGGGTAGAAGTCCTCGTGACGCCGGGTCGGCAGGGTTTTCATGGGTACGAACGTGACCCCAGTGACACTTAGGAACCAGAGCATGAATCTTTACAACGCGATGTGTGACAAATATCTTAAAATATTTTTGTTCAGTCGACAACCACGAAAGGACAATTGATGAGTCCGTCCACGCACGTACTTGAGAAATCTTGATTGAAGTTGAGAGAACTTCTTGGATGTGAAACAGTGATTGGGCCAATAGCAACGCAGCGCATAATTCTAAACGAGGTATGGATAATGATTCATCTAGCTGAGACGTTTTAATTGGAGCAACCTTTGTCTTGCAGGACACAAAATGAACGGTCACATTTCCAGAGGTGTGGACAACACGTAGATAAATAGTAGCAGCGTAACCCTTCGATGATGCGTCTGCAAACCCGAGGAGCTGGATATCAGAGTAGGACTGAACATTGATGTAACGAGGCAAGGTGACTTGATGTATGGTTGGTAACTCCATCAGAAACTGGTTCCAAGCCGTGCTTAGATTCTCGGGTAGTGGAGTGTCCCAGTCGAGTTGGTCATGCCAAAGCTTCTGCATGAACCCCTTTGCCCACATAAGCATTGGGCCCAAGGCGCCAATTGGGTCAAATAATCGAGCGATAACGGATAGTACCTTCCGCTTTGATAGTTGAGGTTCCGGAGTGCGAGTATGATAAGCGAAGTAGTCAGAATCAGTATCCCAGTACAGACCGAGAACCTTGATAGAATGATCCTCCTTTGGATCGAATGACGTCTGCTGAGCACAGTCCTCCGATGGCACCTGCTGCAGTATCAGAGGACAGTTGCTCGTCCATTTTTTTAATTCACACCCACCGGAACGCAAAAGGGCAACAATTTGTTTCTGGAGTGACAATAATTCCTCTTCCGAATCGGCACCAACGACTATGTCATCCACATACGTGGCGTCTGTAAGAATTCCTTTTGTAAGTGGAAATCGATGACCTTCTTGTGCATCCAACTCATGAAGACATCGAATGGCCAAATATGGTGCGGAACTAACCCCATATGTCACCGTCAGTAATTCGAACTCTTTTATTTCTTCATCGGGTGAATCACGCCAAAGAATATGTTGGAATGGTCGATCTTCAGGTCTGATCATAATCTGTCGATACATTTTTACGATATCAGCGGTGAAAATATATCGGTGTAATCGAATACGCAAAAGGATGTCTCTGATGTCTGTCTGGAGCTTTGGTCCTGTATATAGGACGTCATTGAGCGACAAACCAGAAGACGACCTGGCTGAGGCGTCAAAAACTACTCGAAGCTTTGAAATATCACCATCTGCCTTCAGTACTGCATGGTGAGGAATAAAATATTTTCCAGCTTGACGTGAAACTTCCATGTGGCCAAGTGTTTGATAGTCGTTCATAAATTTGCGATAAGCTGTGTATAATTGTGGTTCCTTCATCAGTTTCCGTTCTAGATTATAAAAACGGTTAAGGGCCAAAGCTCTAGACTCTCCGAGCTCAGGGGCATTAGGGCGAAACGGAAGAGCAACACAAAATCGACCACACGGAGCACGGTAAGTGGTCGTCACGAACATTTGTTCACACAGCTGATCCTCAGTGGTAGGTGACGCTGGCACAGCGGGTTCTTCGACAGTCCAAAATTTGCGTAGTAAATTATCAACAGACGGAGTCAGAGTTGCAGCTAGTGAAACAGCTGGCGAGGAATTGGGCTGTGAAATAGCACCGCACACCACCCAGCCGAGGAGGGTATCAAACGCCGATGGATAGCCAGAAGAATGAATAATATCGGCGCGTGGACGAACAATATTTGGAAAGATGTCACCACCAAGTAAAATGTCTATCTGCGCTGGGACGTCAAAGTTTGGATCAGCGAGCAATAAATGTTCATAATTTTTTCGAATGCATGGTGGTAACTGTAGTGTCGGCATGACGTCGGTTATTAAAGGTAAAATGAAAAGATCACTACACTGAAATATATTCTTTGTACTATGGTGTGGAATAAATTGACAATTGGTCACGCCTTTTATTTTTGCAACAGGATTTTGTGCAAGACCAACAATTTCGGTAAAACATTTGTGCTTGGTGAGACCTATGCGTGACACACAACTACTGGTGATGGCTGAAATTTGTGAACCACTGTCCAAAAGAACTCTTACAGAATGTAAAACACCACAACTGTCCTTAACACGGACAACCGCTGTCCCAAGTACTACCATAGAGTTCGTTCGTGAGGTTCCAGAAAATTGCACTTGACTAGTAGACGCAGGAGTAGATTCATCCCCGACGTTGATATTTGTTTGATCCGAAACTTGCGTGGTGTTTGAAATTGACGTTGTCAAGTGTAATAAAGTATGATGTCGTTTCTGACAAATTCGACAACTTGACTTTGAAGAACATTTATTTATCATGTGCATCGTACTCAAACATGAAAAACATAACTTGTTGGTAGATACAAAATCTCGACGCTTTTCGACAGTAATTTTCTGAAAAGCCACGCAGCGATAGATAGTATGAGCTTCGTTGCAGAACGCGCATTTAAACTGTTTTTGATTAACCGATTTATCGTACGTAGTTGACATAAACGATTTTGAAGCTTGATGAGATTTACCGGTTGTAACATTCTTCTCGGCCCTTTCAGCTCTCACGGGACCTTGTATGTTTTCGAGAACTTTACAGCGTTGTTGAACAAATTCTAATAATAAATCAAAATCAGGCATTTGATTCGGCGCCAAACTTATTTCGAACGACCGACGAGTAGCTGGATCTAGTGCCTTTGAAGCGAGGTGAAATAGAATGAAACCGACCAGGTCCTTGACTCCGAGTTCTTTTATGGCGGCAATATTTTCCCGAAAAACGTTGACAAACGCGTTCAGGGCAGATAATGATTCTTGCGCTATTGGTTTAAAAGTAAACAGTTTATCAACGTGGGCGGTAGCTAATAGTCGTTGATTATTGAAACGATTTAATAACGCTCCCCACGCTAAATTATAATTTGACGCCGATAACGGAAACGTTTTAACGATGGTAAGTGCCGATCACGTTACGCACATTAAAAGATATTGAAACCGTCGTATATCACTTAAATCCGGGTTCTCATGAACGGCAGACAAAAATGTATCTCGAAAAAGAGACCAAGACAAAATATCGCCGTTAAATTTTGGCAATTCAATTTTCGGTAAAGCGCTTAGCGTCGGTGCAGCTATCGTAGTCGATTGAAAATCTTTTTTTGATAAACGAGATATGATATGTTTTACATTAAAATACATTTCTTCGACGGCCTTGGAGACAGGTTCATCGACTTCATCGAATTGCTCGATACAGTCATGCATAATAAGTACATCGACAACGGCCTCCTGTTCCAAACAAAATTTCGAAACAATTGTCTCAAACGACTCAATACGCACATCGAGCTCACACTTTTCGACAACGCCCGACTCGACTTGCATCGCGAGTGAATGAATATCAGTAATTGATTTGAGATGACGATCACGCATGAAACGCGGTCGCTGTACAGCTCGCTGCATAGCACGCTGAGCTTTAGTCAGATTAGAAGTACCCGCCATCGTGAACAAGACAATAAATACAACAATTGAGCTATCCGGCTCGAAGGACCAAAATGTATGGAGGGACAACCTGAATTAAAAATATGATCGTCAGGTATTGCCCGCTCCCGGATTATGGTAATTGTCGTGCGATGGTAGTGGACTGTAATAGGTAGGTAAATAGAAAAATGGATGACGGAAAACTACAGCGAGAGAAATAACAATAACGTTGTTGTTGTATGAAAATTATCACGGAATATGACGAATATATTAAAACGTTGCTAACAGGTGAAGATGCTTACAAACTATGTTAGTAGTAGGTGGGGGCCAACCACAAGCGGTCGCCAATACAGAGGGACAAAAAAGAAACAAATAATAAATGTACAAAAAAATTGATATAAATCATAATACCACGTCGGGTAACGGAAGAACATAAACAAATGAAATCAGCTGTGTACGACCTGATAGCGACGATACTGCAGCTGATAGCGGGTATTGACAAGTGACAACTGATGGTGCTACCGTTGTCCCGGCACGACGATAATGGGCAGCTGGAAGTTGACCGGGCTGCGGCGACACACCACAACGTCGACTTGGACGAACAAACAGTCGACGAACGGGAAGGCTCGTAACCACGTGACGAACACGGCGGATCGCACTGCGCACACACCGCGCGGACGATAACGGCAACTTAAAACACAATGTGGTTTTGGCACGGGCGGCTACAAAACGCGATTTGTGTGTGCAACGAGGGGCACGACACGGAACAGAAAGCACAGGCAGCTAGGGCGCTTGGACAAGCCAAGATGGCGTGCGTTATTGAACGACGACGGCACGCCAGTTCGCGTAGGTAACAATAATACGATGATTGCCAAGACGGCTGAGAAAAAGCGGCAGGAACGGTGACTTCGCGACAAGAGGCACTGCGTCGGACTGCATGCAGCGGGGATGAGACCGTCAGCGACACACCGATAACGCTTCTCTCTCCGGAGATATCGGAACGGTCGCACGGTGTCCAAAGTAATAGCGATAACGCGGGGCAAAGTCTAAGACCGGGCATACGCACCGAACATACTGCTTTAAGCAGTTTTGCTCTTTTGGTGTACGACAGGCTCAATGGTTGGAAACAACTCAATGGTGCTTAGGACGGCAACACAACAAAAGAGCAAAACTAAATAATATGTGTTATATTTCTAATTAATCATTAAAATGCTGCCTTAATTTGCTTTAAACAATTTTGCTTTTTTGAAGTGACGCCAGATTAACATAATATTAAAGATATTAATTGTATTCTTCAATTATTATCAGTTGTAAATAAATTATTTATAACTATACATTGAATTTATATGAAATTAATTATTCGATTTTTAAAATGTTTTTTTTTTTTTTTTAGTTCCAGTAATACATTGTAAATGTCATTTACACCCATTCACCTTTTCTGGCCTATTATACTATTTTTGTAAATCGTGGACTATATGGTTAGTATTATAATAGTATTAAATTACATATATTATATAAAAATAATATAATTGAATAATAATTCTTATTATAAAATATAATGTAAAATATATTTTAATGTATGATTTTAAAAGAAGCAAAAAAACAAGACAAAATCAGTTTTAGGTTTTAAACTACAGAGCAAAATGTTTCTTACAAAAAATTGTTACAGACATGACACAGATGTTATAATAACATATTGTATACCGATACAACTGTTCGAATAAGCAGAATAACATTTTTTTTATGTTGGGCAAACAGTTAGAAAATGTAATACAAAGTTCCTCATAAGTTCCTCATAAGTAGGTAATATAATACTAACTAAAAGTTATCGAAAATACCATCACAGTATTTTTTTTTATAAGTATTAAGGATGATTCACACTAGTCAGACACGTACCGACAGACACCGTACCGTACCGTTCCGGAAAATATTTTAATATTTGTTTAAATACAGTAATTCACATTTAAACGTTTCCGTTCCGTTCATACACGTAGCGAACCGACAGAGTCCGTCCGGCATTCCGCGCGAGAATGTTTTGTCGGGACGGCACGTGTCTGATCCGGTCTGAACAGGTCTGTATGATAAGTGTGAATGAACAACAGACATTTCTATAATTCTATCCGTCGGCTGTCATTCACTTGAAGATTATTCACATTGACTAAGTTTTGAACTCAGAAGTACATACTTATTGTACTTGTACTTATAACTTTTTATTGTTCTCAGTGTTCTCGCTTGTTTATATTTTTCATACGTGATGAACCTAGAGTTATTAATTGAACTCGTCAGAGACCAAGAATGCCTCTATGCATTGTCACACAAAAAATATAGTGACCATGTGTACAAAGAATCCTGCTGGAAAAACATTTCAACTTCTTTAGGCATACCTGGTAATATTATTATAAATATATTATTATAAATATTATAATTAAATTTTATTGATATGTAAATCATTAAAAAATTGGAAACTTAAAATGCCTGTTAACAGCTGAAAACTTCTCAAAATATTTTGAACATTTTATGGTGTATATTAAATGCTTATATAAACATTCAGTGAAAATTACATGTATCTACGGTATTTTTTTTTAGAGTTACACCAGTTATAACCTAACAACATTTTCAAAATATTTTGAAAACACGTTTTGACTTGTTTTTTTTTTTAATATCAATTAAATTTTATTCGTTGGGTCGAAAAGCTTGATAATTTAATACAAGTTCTTTGCACATTGTTAAAAAAGTTAATAACAATATTTGATATATTATATTATACTATGTGTCTATCGTCTATGTATATAATTGGTGATTATATTTTCAAGAAATATAAAAAAACATCGTACATATTATACAATAAATGATAAATGATTTTACTAATTTAATTAATTTGTATAAACACATTATAAATAATTAATAATATTAAGTTATTAAAAAGTATTTAAAAATAACATACACTTATTTAATTGATTAGTTCCAATGGATTTGACCAGCAGGTGAATTAAAAAATTGTTTGAATTTTTCTCTCACTTCGAATGCTACTTGTGGTGCGCTTCCTCCTTGATTTGAAATATTTGTAATATGTCTAGGTAGTTGTTCGGACATTGATGATGCAAATTGATTATCATTATCACTTTTTATAAAGTTATGTAAAATACAGGTAGTGAAAATTATCTTATCCGCATTTTCTGGTAATGACTTTAAGCGTCTTTGATATACACGAAATTTTTGTGACAGCTGACCAAATGCATCCTCTACAACTTTTCTCGCACGTGATAGTCGCTCGTTGAATATTTTTTTAGTTTCATCACGGTGAATTTGTATGCCTGGGTATGGTCTTAAAATATAACTTTTTAAAGGAAAAGCCTCATCTCCTATCATTGCGTATGGTAAAACTTCATTTGTTCCTGGCAGAGCTCGGCCATCAGGTACATTAAATTTATTTTTTTCAAACGCTTTACCCATTTTTGAACTGGAAAAAATTCCACCATCACTACTTTTCCCATAAGCCCCAATATCCACCGCAATAAATTTATATTTGGCATCAACTAAAGCCATTAAAACGATCGAAAATGTTTTCTTGTAATTAAAATAAAGTGAACCACTATTTGGTGGAGCTTCAATGACAACATGTTTACCATCCAATGCACCAATGCAATTGGGAAAGTTCCATATTTCCCAAAACTCATTAGATATGGTTTTCCAATCATCTTCTTTCGGCATTGGTATACATTCTTCTTTTAAGTTAGATATAATAGCAGTACAAACTTCTAAAACAATTGATTGGACAGTTGAATGTCCCAAACGGTAACTAAAAGAGATGGTTTGAAAAGAATCTCCAGTTGCCAAAAATCTATAAAAGAAAAAATTATTTTAAAAACTTAAATAAATAAATTCGACAAAATGTACTTTTATGACCAAAAAAATAATACAAATGCCTAAACTTTCGAACTCTGGTACTAGTCTAAAACAGTAAAATAGAAACATTTTAAATATTGTGTAATATATATTTATGTAGTGAATGATTGCAAGAAGACATGGAACAATTTGAGGGACGCATTTAGAAGGGCAATGAAAAAATCACAAACGACATCTGGCCAATCAGCAAAGTATATAAAAAAGTGGAAGTATGAAGAAGAAATGTCTTTTTTACGGCCTCATATGAGAGAAAGGGATACCGGATACCATAAGCTCCTTAAATCTTAGTGACGGAGAAAGTGAAGCAAATAACGACGAAAGCGGAATAGTTGAGGTGGAAGAAGGTGATATCGACTTTGATATAAATTCGTCTATTACACATGTTAATACTGAGTCTCCGACAACTTTATCTTCTGCAGAAAATAAAATACGCAGTCAAAAACTATCTTTAGGACAAAAAGAATTAATTAAGACAAATATACGTAAACGGAAACAGCCTACAGGATCAGCTTCTGCAACATTAATGGAGTATATTATAAAAACAAAAGAACAAAATAACGTAACGGAAACTCAGCAAGATGGTTTAGATCATTTTTTTTTAAGTATAGCTTCAACAATAAAAAAATTCACGCCATATAATCAAAATTTAGCAAAAGCTAAGATATTTTCTATTGTCTCTGATTTGGAATTGAGTGAACTTAGTAAACCTAGTCAAGAACAACTATATCAATCCGAAAATACACCATCGTCAGCATTCATACTACCACAATCAACCCAGTTTCCACAACCATATCTGCATCCACTTACACATGAAATATCTAACCCTGCTATTCAAAATATCCAATATGATTCAACAGCTTCATCATCATCATGTGGTAGCTATTTAAATACATTTTCTCCTGAAGATAATCAAAACTAAAATTGATACAGTTAATTCTATTTAAATTTTAAGTAAGTTTTTTAGTTTTTTCATCATTTAAAGAATATCTTCTAGAATTTATTTTTATTTTATTTTTAATGTATTTGTTAAATTAAAAAATAAAATAAGGTGGTACCTAATTAATAATTTTTGGATTTTTAATTAAAGTTTATTATGTTGTTTTTTTTTTTCGTTTCATTTGATATTTATATAGTATAGTAAATTTATTCCTATACTTTTTTTGAAGATCATATCATAATATAATCTAATATTATTTATTGTAATATTTTGTTGATCTATTAATAAACTTAAAAATTTAAAATTAATTGTATCATTAAGTAAGTGTAATAATTTGTTACGAAATTCATACTTTCTTACCTTAAACAAACTGCAAGTTTTTCTCGTGGTGATATGGCTTTCCGAAAACACGTATTTTTTTTTCTAATTGTGTTTTTAATTTTCGATAAAAGTACATTAAATTGAATTTTTGTCATACGAAAATATTTAAAAAATTTTTCTTCGTGGTCACTTAATTGTTTATACAAAGTTACGAATTCACCTTCAATGTGCCGTTTTAACAAAATATCATGAACCCATATTCTTTGTTGTACATTCCTTTCTTCTTCTTCGTCTAGGGCAATAGCAATCATTGCCAAATCGCTAGTAGTAAAATGTTTAAACATATTTCAAACTTAGGTAAAATATAAAGAAAATGGAAAAACAGGGAAACTTGTATAGGCACTTAATGATATTGGAGCGAAAATGTGAGTATGTTAACAATGACGGTCGTTAAGTATATTCGATCGGTATGGTACGGTGTCTGTCGGTACGTGTCTGAACAGTATGAATTAACCATGCCTGTATCGGAACGGTACGGTACGGTGTCTGTCGGTACGTGTCTGACTAGTGTGAATCATCCTTTAAGTTACAATTTTGACAAAATTCTAAAAAACCGTGAAATGTTGCAAATTATTTTGTAGTTAGAAATGCATTAATATATTTCTTTTTATGACTAACATTTAAAAATGTTATATAAGATTCCTCAAAAGTCATTAGTTACCGAAAAGTAATATTAACTTTTTAGTACATATTTATGCAACATTGGATATTATTTTGTTGTAGGAGGAAAATATGCGGTATAAAAAGAGGGGTATGTATGGGTGTGTGTATGTGTGTGTCTACGTATTTGGAAATCGTGTAAAATTACGTTGTTGTATTGCTCGTTTATCCGTGTAAGATATTTCTACTACTGTGTTATACCTACCTAATGATATTTATAACCAAGAAACATTGCCGTATACAGAAGGAAAAGGGGAACGATCGACGACGAAGCTGAACACGAAACCCGCCGCTGCCCGTGAATAGCGAATCAAACACGACTAGCCCCAGTCCGGACCACCGAACGACGACACCGATCAGTCTATATTATTAAAATAGCCCGTTTCCGGGCTAACTACACCAACGCAGTTGTGACTCGATCTTACGAACCTCGGCGACCAGGACGCTTGCTGAAACCTCGCGGCCCGCCGAACAATACAATCCGCGCCGTTGACAACTCCAGCAGATCAGGCAACGTGTCATCGAGAACCAGACACGCCGAGAAACTAGACATTCGTAGTTGCCGAAGAATCGACAACCACTATCCGGCCCATCGAGAAGATTATACCGCAACTCAAGTTGAACAGTTGACAAACGTATACTGTCCCCCCAAGCGCGCCTGCCTAGGCCTCGCTTCCCACCCGGAGCTACAGATCGACGCCACTTATTCGAGCGGGCTGATCGTAGTCACCCGGGTCGTCCCGGTATTTTCCGAATAAACCTATACCCAACTTTGTAAGGACCGCCGCATATCCCGACACAACCATATTGGTGTAGGGACGCGAGCCGTCAAATCCCTTTTTATATTGTAATGACTCAAAAATTACGATATAAAATAAAATACGACGCCTGTCGATAAATATATTAAAATCGTAAGACTAAGCAATTACCTTCCTCCAGGTGATCGGAGGGCTCTCGAGATCGTGTTTTCGAGAATTAGATCAAATACACTACACAACACAATTGTATATGAAACATGCACAGATAATATAATAAATGCAATTAATATAAAATATTATATTAATTGCCTTACCTGATCCGCAGTCGTTTGTGAATTATTTTGTAAGGGTTTTAATAGACACAGAGTAATATTTTTTTTAATTATAACTCGAAATAATAAACACACTGATTATTGCTCACATAAGGAGTCCAGAATGTCGATCGTTGAAATCGGTTTTTTTTTAGACTTTTTTTGGAGGTTGTTACTCGGTGAATGGTGCGCATGCACTAGTTTAAGGGACGACGCGAGTACGCGACGAAGCTGACCAGAGAGTGGTAGGCGGCTTTATCAAAAATGTTATCGTGAGCTTGGGAACTAGGTTATTCTTTGGCGGCAGATACCTTTTTTTTTCTTTCCTTTTCTCTGGCGGCATCGTATAATAAAGTCACACATCCTGCGTTTTAACGTTATGAGTGGGTGCCGATATCTTAGTTGTCATTAATAATGGTTTTATTTTATGTGACCCATTTCTACAAACGACAGTCTGGCCGTTATTTATTAAGTATTCTGTAAGATTTTAGTTTATTGTAACGGTGTGTGAGCATATCATTACAATATTATATATGTATATATATTTTTAACATAGGAATAAAGAATCAGATGATACTATAAGACACCGTACTCCGTTACATGCTTATTGAAGAAAAATCTATTTATTTTACAATTTTTATTTCAAACAAAATAATGTTAGTGTTCATAAATGACGCAAGTAAAATACATAATATGTACATAATAACTTATATGCAAACACATCACACCTGTGCATCTGATACAATACAAATGTGGTGGTTTAACAAAATAAAATGGTTTCACATACCATTGAACCTTTTTCATTGCATTTGTGTTACTGAAATTCCCAGCAATTGGTTACTTTCTTTAAAATCAGTTACATTAGTTCTGTATTGTATTATATTTTAAACAAAGAAAAATAAATTGTTATTTCTATAACGCCATGTACATCTCATTGGGACTTATGTGGCTATGTTTTAAAATAATTCAAGGAGAAATAAATCGATGTCCATTGGGTAATTAAATATATTATATATAAATATTTATTGAAAAATAAATATTGAAACTTATAACAATTGACTAATGAAAACAAAAATATATCTTTTTAAAATAATTGTTTTACTTTACAATCAAAATCTGATTTTATAACTCAGACACTGTAGACATTTTGATATTCCAAACACATCCTTCATCTTTATTTTTTGACCAACATTTATGACAAATTAAAATAATAAAATATTATTTATTTAGGTGGCATACGTGATGATAAACTATGCTCAATGCTAAACAAAGGTAAATTACTCGTTAAACTACACATCATTGTAAAATCTGTACATTCATTGTTCCGCTCAGAATCTAAAAGAAAGATTGAGTAATGAACATAATATAAACTATTATTATGTTTCAACATATGCTATGTTATAATAAAAAATTTAAAAATTGAATTTTACAGAACCTGTTTTTTATAGATTCTATTTGAGTAAGTAAAATAATTGGAAATATTCATTAGCTATACTGGTATTATAAGTGAAGTAAAATAATAAGAGGTGCATAATAGCATAATATGTATACAATATTATATACCATATTATTATTTGAAAGTTATCTTAATCGTTATTAAAAGAATTAGTTGAATATAATTTATATAAAATATTTCATTAAAATATGTAAGTAACTCGTACATTTTTGCAGTTTTAAACAATTATGACCTTATGAGCACCCACTAGTTATTGTGAGCACCTATCTAGTTACCTTTGAGCCAGAGTTTGGAAATGTTGAAATTTAATGAAATCTACAAATAAATGATATTTCTAGTTTTCAAATTTTTTTTTATATGATATAATTATGTGATGATTTTTAAATGGTAACACCTATATTTAATAATATCAAAAATGTACAAAACTATTTTTCTTAAAAACGTCTGCTATTAAATTATGTATTTATATTCAATACATTTTGAGATATAACCATTTCAAAACACGATATAGGAGAATCTTTTTGTGTTTGTCTACAATTGCCATTATAGATTTATGGTCAATCAATGAATCAAACAACTTAATAATCATTGAACCAGAATAATATAAAAGTAGCATTATCAGACGGCTTATAACTTATTAGTTATTACATTACGACTACACAGAACATGAAAACACCAGAACACCAATACTGGTTTGTGGACAAGGTTTATAGCATGATCTACTACACACGACTTGACACTACGAACAAAATCGCTTACACAAAGTTGTACGAAATTCATACACATGCTTTGTAACTGCACCCTACCTGTTAGTAACATGAACTACATTTGTGATCAAAAATCATATAGCATACAATTCAGATAAACAGAAAACAAAAATATACAATACAATATACCTATAAACTTCCCATGTTAAAAGTGTTTTATTTAATAGGTTAATTAGATAGAGTTGCGTGGTGTGTGTACTGGTAGGGTACAGCCAGAGCTTAGACATTGTGTCTTATGGCCAAATCGGGTGACTGTGGCCCTCAAGACGGTCTCCGGGGGCCGTAGTATACGTTATCAATTAAATATTTAATATCAATATTATAAATTATTTGAAAACTGTCAAATAACAATATTATAATATTTAGTTCATATTTCATAGCAAAATGATTAGCATTGTACTGAAACTGACATACCATGCATAAAAAACTTTGAATAAATATTTACTGAATTCATATTTTGACAATGTTTTACATTTTTTTACCAAGTGTGGCAAACACACTTATTATAGTAGAATAATAGTAATATGACAACAGACAAATTAATATTCTAATGAATAAATGAATAATTTTAGTTTATGGATGATTTAAAATAAATTATTTGGTGGTTGGGCTAAATTCTATGACGATGAAAACTGTAACACAAAATTTCATTCAAAATTTAGATGGTTTTCAAACACAAATAAGTAAGTGATTTTTAAATTAATAAATTGTATGTATTACCTATCTTATTATTATAATCAGTAAATAAGCCTATGATTTTATCACGATGTCAGTCAAATTCGCATTAATTCCGTAATCAATATATAAAAAAAACTACACTTTGATTATAAAATCTGATTTACAGTTATCTAAATTATACGATACTTTTTTAGGTCTCCGTTATTTATACTTTTTTATTTGACTTGAAAACTACTGCGTTGTTTTTATTTAGTTTTTGTAAAATGCTTCTAAAATTGTTGGTATTTTTTAGTGATTTTTTTTATCAATAAATATACAATTCAGTACATATATAATTATACTGTAACGATTGTTAGGTACATCGTTACTTGTATATTATTATAAACATAATAATATGTACAATGTGCACATATTATATACCTACCTATATGTTATGTATAATATGTACCTATTATTTACAATATTATGTTGACTACATATTAAGCCCTCCTGTTTTGGGGAAACATTTATAATCATTGTAAGAATACAAAAAAATATCCATATCCTAGTTCTCTGCGATTACAACATACACACCTGAACTCGGAGACAGCAACACATTATGGTAAACCCTGTTCTTTAGTAACAATGCACTTTTATGTATTAACAATTATTTGAATTAATCATAATTTCTTTGTATTGTTACAACCCAAAATGCCTTCATGCTCCATATCTACGGTTAAAATATATTCAAAAGAAAATAACTTCTTCCCTGAATATTCTATTTTTAACTGTTCATCTAGAGGCCCCGACTACGATACAATATCTATATATAATAATATAAAAGTACTTATTAATAAAAAAAAAAACAATTATCTGTCAACCCATTATTTTTTATCACTTTTGTCATTCAAAATTGATATTTAAATTTTATTATGTAAATTTTTCCCTCTTATACTACCTATAATATTATTGTATAATTTAACGAAATTTAATTAATTTGAAACTTTAATATATTGTAAACTGTACTGTTGTAAAATTTTTTTTTCTTTAGTCGGAAATAAAGGTAAGCGTTTATTATGTATTATTTTAGTCTTAACAATTAATGACAAGTATCATTTGAAAATAATATGATTAATTCGGTAGAAATACAATTTTATTATATGGTTAAAATTTATATTAATTAATGATGTATTTTATGTATTCTTAAAAATAAAAAAAACCTGAGATTATAAGGTGCTTCAAAAAAGAGTGTTTATAGTAAGAATATATGAAGTTTTTTTGGTAAAAATATGAGTAAACAATTATTCAAATAATACCTAGATACAAACTACTTAGTTGATAGGTAATAATTTGGAGTGTAGTTTTTAGTAAATAAGTGTTAAAAATGTATTTTACATGTTCAAAATGTTCTAGGTACATAATATAACCATTAAATTTATTTACAGACAATAAGTATGATGTATACGATGTAGCCTATAGTAAGTACAAATCTAATTCTCCATGTTTCAATATAATTCTATGAATGTGTCTTAAATGTTTAAACCAAATGTACACAATATGAATTAAAATTTGACTTTCAAACTTCAATACATAATAAAACCAAATTATTTTAGAGATTGATCGTCTCGCACATTTGGTCTCGAACTAAACATGAGCTGACCTTTTTAATCGTAAACCTAAAGTTTGGTTAAATTGCTCAAACTTTTTCATTCAAATATTTCTTTTTATTTAGAGGGATTTAAAGAAGTTAAGAAAAACCAAGGTAATTAATATGATATGTATATTTTATATTTATAAATAAACAAAAAAATACATTTTTTGTAGGGTTAAAAATATATTTAATTATATATGTCTGTGAATTTCTTACAATATTCGCCTTCAATCGTACACCGTAATAAAAGATTTCCATACTTGGCATTGCAATGCACTAATCAAAAAATGAAAGAACAATTTTTATAATTTTCATATTTAAAATGTTCTGATTTCTCTATGACCCTTAGATATTGCTTTCCAGACAAATTTAAAATTTGATGCTTACACCGGAAAATTGCCTGATTCCACAAAAATAAATAAATTGGTGTCTAATTAATCAAACATAGATTTTATCTTTAGAGCACACTGCAAAATTACAAATAAACCCGCTAATATGATATTTGAGGTAATTTTATATTCTGAGAGGAGCGATTAATGTGTTTTTTTTTATGCGACTGTCATCGCCTATGTGATTCTAAAAGCAACGGGCAAAGACCCTACGGTCGCCAAATCCTAGCGGCCAATAAGCCTGCTCCTGGTGGTGTCAAAAGCCCTTGAACACTTAGTGATAGACAGGATACGAGCAGGACTCATACATGTCTCAAAGACAGTTCAGGTTCACCAAAAATCTCTCGACAGTTGATACAATGCATCAAGCACTCGACTGATAGGCAAACAAGTCGAGAAAAATACGTAATAGCTGTGTTCCTGAACATATCGATTGCATTCGACTGTCTCTGAAGGGCGCAGTTAGTTAAGGACAGTAGAGCGTAGACAGGTTTCTAGCGGACACGGACCCGAAAATTTCACAGAGACAGTTTCAGGTTCACCAAAAATCTCTCGACAGTCGACGCAATGCACAACGCACTGAACTGGAAGGAAAAAAAGTTTGAAAAATACGTAATTGCCGTTTTCCTTTATATTTTGGGCGCATTTGACTGCCTATGGTGGGCTCAGCTGGTTATTTACATGCGCAATGCTGGCTGTCGTAGTGGGTTGGTCAAACTGACGAAAATTTACCTGTATGGCCGCCGAGCTGTTATGCAGTTTGGCAACCAAACAGTAACACTGACCAAAGGCTGTCCGCAAGGGTCAGAGTATGGTCCAGACCTGTGGAAACTAGCTGTGAACCCACTATTGTCAGTAGACCCGCCAACCTGTACTGAGCTAATTGCGTATGCAGACGATCTTCTCTGGAGAAAATCGTGCAGAGCTATTAAGTCGTGGAAACGAATTACTAAGTAGAGCGTCGCTATGGGCAGAACAGCGTAAATTCACCTTCTCCACGCCAAGTCGCCGACTCAATGGCTTAAGGGAAAACTCTCCCGGCCTAACTTGGACCTCCGACTTGGTGGAGTTAAAATCAAAAAAACCGCTGAGTGATTTATCTCAGTGATATTACGTTTGACGATAAGAACATTAGCGTCCATCTAACGGAAAAGTTAGTGACTCAGCAGCGCTGTTTAGATGACTGTGCGGTGTTGCTAAGATCAAGTGGGGTCTTAGTAAAGAAATCACAGCGAACCTGTTTAATACAGTGTTTATTCCGCAGATGAGCTATGCGGCCTCTGTGTGGGCAACGAAGTGCATGGGCACTACCGAAGAAGAGCCATGGTCAGAGTACGGACCAGAACTATGGAAGTTTTCCGTGAATCCCCTACTGTCAGTAGACCCGTCAACCAGTACTGAGCTAATTGCGTATGTGTAAAGTCTGTTACTAATCTCTGGGGAAAACTATGTTGAGCTGGAAAGTCATGGAAATTAATTACTCAGAAGAGCGTCACTATGGGAAGAACAGCGAAAACTCACCTTCTCTGTTGCTAAGTCGCATACCCACTGGGTAAAGGCTTCACTGTCCAATCCTTTGGATCTCTGACTTGGTGGAGCAAAATCAAATCAACAACTGGGGCTAAATACCTCGGTGTTACCTTTGATGAGAACGGTAAATTTAGCGACCATCTGGCGGAAAAAGCTAAGAAATCAGCAGTGCTGTTTGGCCGACTACACAGTGTCTCCAAATCCAAGTGGGGCCTTAAAATAAAAAATATCTAACAACCTGTGTAAGACAGTGTTCATACTACAAATGAGCTACACGGTCTCTGCGTGGGCCCCGAAGTGCATGACTACTGGGCACCACCGAGGATGAGCTAACAGCGCTCAAAGGACCCCACTACGAGCGATAACAGGTGCGTACAAAACATCTCAACAATGGTTCTGTAGGCACAGGTTTTAATACCTCCTGTCGACCTGGAACTCTTGTAAGAGCCAGGATCAAAAAAGATAGGTTCGTGGTAAGGAGCGGTGCTATGACGATGGAAATGGCCGATGTTAGAAAGGTTAAGTACGGCAACAACACCCTTAACCTTTGGCAGAGCAGGTGGGTCACCAGTGAGAGTGGTAGGTGGACGGCGAAGTGATTGTCAAGCGTCTGTTGGACCGTGTGTGGTGCATATGGACCATCACAAGTCCCAGCTGATGTCTGGCCATGGGCACTTCAACTCTTCTCTCCACCGTTTTAGCCTTAGAGCTGATGCAACTTGCCAGTGTGGGTTCCCTAATGGAACAGTGGAGCATTTTTCGATGGAATGCCTGCTTGCGAACCAGGAGAAAAAAAATTCAAACTCACAGTGCTAGTGGCTGGTGTGGAATGGTCCTGAGAGTTAGAGTTCATGACAAGAACCGAGGTCATTTTCAAGTGCTAAGTGTATTTTCTCACAATACACTTAGGTGGGCTGATGAAGGGTTACCTTGTTAGACATTATTAATTCCAATACGGCGATCTGAGAGAACTTACAGTGGCCAAGTTAAAGTGGGATACTTTTATATTCTGCACAAGAAGATTTGTTAATTTTAATTTTCAAGAGAAAATCGAAACAATTACGAGAATCCAATGTAATCCTATGATAACCTTGCGACACACCAATGAAAACGTTGAAATGGAAATTGAAACTTAAGGGTAGGAAAAATTAACCACTCCCAGGTACCCAGAACAACCTGCTCGCGGACCTCAAACCGGCAACCACATTCCTATCCATTCTCATTCAAAACTTGATCAATAGCTTACCTAACCAGTCATCTACTATCACCCACTAAAAATCCAAAGAAAAACTCGGTGCGAGAACGGAAATCCACGCAGAAAACCGTACTGCTAAAAAATAAGGCAGTGTCGCGGTAGACAAACAAATCCTACCCCAAAATCTTTGTTAGTGGGAACCAGGTCGTTTAAAGTACCCGGATTAATGGAATCATAAATCTCATTCTGCGGGAATTTGAGAGAGCCCCACTAGTCAAACAGTATTCCACTTGGATCCTGGTTATCGACTGTAACGTGATAACACCACCTGTATCAAACATACTGCTGCGTTTGAATGTATAACCACTTAATAGGCACTTTGGTTTGGTTAAGTTTTGTAGAATAAATAGAGCTCTAAAACGTTGATACTAAATAATTTAGTATATAACTGTAATGTTTTTAATTATTTATTATTATTAATGAATTTTAATATTTTAATATTTTAATATTACAGCTCTGGACTCTGAATTGGATGTTTTGGATCCTTTGGACGTAATGAGACCATGTTAGTAAATACAAACTTTAAATTCTAAGGTATTATTTAATGTTGTGACGATATTTTGATTTTATAATCCTAGTTTTTGTTCATGATAAAATGGATGACTCATTTTCTACAAAGCTACAGTTCTTATTCTTAGTATATGATTTTACATAACTTGAATCGGAACACGCTATGATGGTATGCCTCCTTTTGTTAAAAGTATGAACACGATGGTTTGAAGCTGCATATAAATTGTTCCTTTATGTCTACACAAGTTATTCTCTGTTGAATACAATTGGGGAAGTAGTTATGTCGTCGGCCTTAGAGGTCCAGTGACCACGAACTCCGTAAATATTATTACATTATAAAAGGATTATATTATAAATATTTCAATGTAATGATGGAAGAAACAGGTAAGTTGAGTTAGCCACTCAAATAAGTGGCGTATAATCATAACCTCCATTCAGGTGTAGCGTAGTGGACTAATCAGGTGCACGTGGGGGGCACCATATAATCTATGGTCCTAAAGAAAACAGATTTTTACTCCAGGATTTTACCGTCCAGTATCGTGTCCTTTGAATGACGTGGTATCCAAATGAAATCATCCTCGTTTCCCGGTTTCACCACGATAGCCTTTTATACTTTTGGAATCACTAGGTTATCTCCTCATATTTCAGGGTCCTGACAGATCCTGGTATCTCTGTCGTTTTTCATGTTACGGCCATGGGGGGGGGGGGGGGGGTTACTGTTGACTTCTTCATGACTCCCCTATCAGCTATAGCCTTACTTTTGGTGTTTCTATGATGTGCGGGGAGGCTTGTAAGTCCTCCCTAAGCCCATAATATGGTGTGTTGCGTTCATACTATGCTGTGATTGGTTGTCATATGCTATGGGGTGTTGGCTCAGTTAAGGATTGTCCTGTTACTAAATTAATGTTTAACAATATCAATCTTGGATTATAAAACATCCGTATTATAATTTATTATACCAAAATTATATAAGAACAATCAGTCCATCACATATTATCTAATATATAAAAATCTCGTGTCACGATGTTACTGTACGAACTTCTCCATAACGGCTAGACCGATTTTAATGACGAGGTTATCTCCTCATATTTTAGGGTGCCATTGATGGCGCTTCAAGTATCTGCTCCGGAGTTCTGGCTTACACCATTCCCTGACGACAGATATAAAGAGAGGTTACCACCTATATATATATATTATATATGTAGCTAAGTATAAAAATTAGGTATGTGCAACCCTTGATGATTCATCCAAGCAGACTACCCGGTATAATGAGACGATTTCCAAGTGGAATGGAGGTTCGGCTCTTGTGCCGTAGTTCGGATTTCTTTGATTAGACCAGTACGATTTATTATGTTGATACTCAGGGAGTTGCACACGCGGGATTGTAGCGGTTGACGCTGTTTGCTGATCGCTGATTTAGCTCTGGTATGCCATAGTATGCCGTTGATTAGAACGTACGATCGATTATGGCGATGCTCAAATTGAGTTGAGCATGGGATCGTACCGATCATTCTGGTGGCTTGTTACTGGGTGCTTGCTCGGTTGATCAGTTTCAAATGTTCCTTCGGGTCTTTGGTCTTCGTTGTTTAGTGAGGGGTTGAATAAATGGAAGTTAATTGGAACATTATCCGATGAATCTTTCCAGTACCAGTACTCCTATCTGTAAATACTAGTAAACATATCGATTATTCGGTTGTTCGCTGTGTTTACTATCTGGATGGATCTCGGTCATTTTTCAGGTCATGGTTACCTCCACCCCCTATCTATAGCCGTACTTGGGGTGTTTCTATGATGTAAGGGGAGGATTGTAAGTCCTCCCAATTCCCATAATACGGTGTGTTGCATTCATATTGTGCTGTGATTGGTTGTTGGCTCTGTTAAGGATTGTCCCGTTACTACATGAATGTTTAAAAATATCGATCATGGATTATAAAACGTCAGTATTATAATTTATTAACTAAAATTATATAATAACAATCAGCCAATCACAAATAATCTTATACATAAAAATCTCGTGTCTCGATGTTAGAGTACAAACTCCTCCTAGACCGATTTTAATGACATTTTTTGTACCTATATTTGGTCGTAAAGTTTTCACACCCTCCTATCAAAACAAAGATTTTAAGATTTACGGTGGTCGTTTTTATTTATAAATGTTTGATATTTGTTATAGGATTAGGAAATAAAAAAAAAAATAGCTAGTATTTATTATTAGGTTGCCATTGGTCAATCGGGCAGATCAGTTGCACTCATATAATATCTCAACGATAAATTGTTTTTAATTGTATTATTATTAATTCACAATACTATAACTTATATAATTTATCTTACAGCTAAGAGACCTGGAGAACTGTTTTATAGACAAGAAAGAACGATGAGTTAGTAAATGTTTTAGTTTATGTTCAACACCAAATAGTTTGCATTGTATAGAGTTAAGAAATTGTCAAACGATCCAATTATGTTTTCTAAATAAATTTATTTGAACTCTAACGTATCATTTAATATCATCACAATATTTTAATTTCAAAACATAGTTTTTAGTTATTATATTATGGATGAGAGGTTTTTAAGAAATCTAGAATATTTCATTATCATCTCTTTCTAAAAATACCAACCGTTTATTATAAAACTTCGGTTTGATAAATTATAATACTATAATATAACAATCACATACCTAATAACAACATACAATATTTATGAATACAAAATATTATATTATATGCCTAGGACCTAAGTATATATTGTATATAGATCTATTATTAATAAACTGAATACTGCATAAGACCATGTAATTCTGTTAAATCTATTATTCAAAATTATAAATATTCAGTTCTTAAAAATGTTCATTAAACATTTCGGGAGGTACGTACTAAGTCCAATTTGAAAAATATTAGACGTTTTACAAAACTTCTTTGTGTGATTCTATTTTATCTTGTAAGATATTTTTAAATTATTGAAATAAATATAACAAACTCACTTAAAGCATTAAGGTTAGTCATATCCTTAAATGTGTCAAGAAAATATATTAATATAAGAAATCTGAATTAATGATTTACTTTAAAATTTACATTTTTTTCCATTGATTAATTTCTTATTAATTTATGTATTACTATAGTAATATATTTTTTTATAAAAAGTTTTTTATGATATATTAATGATTAAATATAATGTTAATTAGCCATGGACGAATATACACGAATGTACATGAAAATAATATTTAGTGAGTATGAAATTTAAATTCTATTTTATTTGAAAAATAAATAAAAATGTATGTTTGTACAAAAAAAATCTTGGCATAACTAGGATTCACTAGTAAAATGTTCTAGATTCTAAGATAATTAAAGTTAAAAAGGTGGGCAAGTGGTTGTCACACTGTTGTACAGATTTTTAGAAGCGGGTCACTGACCACTGTAATGAAATATATTATACAATATATTGAAGTTGAAAATCAAAGCATTATTTCAACTACTTATCGTGTACATAAACACAAAAAAAATAACACACATCATCATTGTCAAATCAATACATTCATCGCCTCACTCAGAATCTAAAACAAAATACACATAATTGTAAAATCAATATTTCCATCGCTTACCTCAGGATCAAAAATAAAACATAGAATCTTTTAAAAATAAATTATATTTTTAATATGTTCATAGTGACCTCCTCCACATTCACAATTCATGAATTCTGCCACCATACACCACTCTTACGTATATACAAATATACAATTTTATTATACGATGAGTAGATTTAATATTTAATAATTGTATAATATACTTGTATTGATAAGTGGATACTTTTAAAAGTTTAATATCAATAATGATACATCATTAATTTTTAATCCCTTTCCGTGTTTAGTCTAGCTAAATCATTGAATCGATTTTGTGACATACATGTACATTCTAATAATTATTATTTCATACAAGGATAATAATAAAATAAATTTTTTAAATTTTCGCAAGTTCCTTCTATTGTATCTGCTTAAAATGGAATAACCAGTAATCTCCATAAAAAACTATTATATTAATAATAAATGTATTATACAAGTTGATGTTTTAAAGATAATTCAAACCGATATTGTAATGTTAGTTAGAAGCCAGCTAATTTCTATACGTCAATATAGAAAACAACACCGAAACAACATTTTATTTGTTTAAAATCAGATAAAA